GGCGAACATGTTTGGTGTGACGGGGATTCGAACACGCGACCCGCAGATTGCGAGTCGAGCGCCCCAACCACCTGGCCATGCCGGACCCGGTTATAAAAGGGAAGGAAACTTCTTTTCAAACTCCTGTGAGATTTCAGTTTTTACCATTAGCTACAATTCTATGTTAATCAAATCCAAGGTTTTGCGCCCGTTGTTGATATGAATCTCTTATGTTCCTTGAATTCCTGATCTCAATAGATGTCTGTTATCCTACGTTTCCTCCTATTTACATTTTTCGCTCGGTTGGTCTGAATTTACGCCCATTCCAACTTAATAGTATAATAATATGTGACATCAGGTCTATTCCGTGTTTTTGTTCCCTAATCTTGTAAAGAACTCTTAAAGATACGTTTTTCGGATTGATAGATTGAGATTGTAATTCCTTAATAGACTGTCTTTAAAACACATACTTAATTAGTATAGGCAAGGACTACGTCTTTCTTGCTTCTCATCACTTCATAAACTCCTTTGTATGGGTTTCGACTTTCAAGGCTAATTATACAGAGGGATTTACTCAGGCACAATGAACGCTGCTACAGAGTCGTAATTCACCGTTAGTGTTTTGACATCAAAGATGTGCGTTGGTTGAAAAAGCAAATTAACATGTTGTGTGTTTGCTTCAACAACCTGATGAATAGACGTAGAAAGATGTGCCCACCACAGAGACACACAAAATTATCAATATCCTTGTAAGTGTTGCTGGAAAGAGTACCAATCTAAGCTCCATGTTTTATTGGGGTTATTATGAGTAAATTAGTGCGTTTCTTCAGTGTAGAAACACTAAACGTTGTATGTTTTCTACAATTTTCACACAAGTTTTGCACCTTTAAATTTTTGGGGAGCAGAGTTATCCGTGGAACATGATGTTCAAACTTGACACTAACTGACATCGCTGTATGTACAAGATTATCTGCAAATGTCAGTTCCCTGTTTTGCATTCTAAATTGGGACATTTTCTGCAGTAAAGTATTAATTTAGAACATACGACCTTCAACGTTGCGTGTATGACAGGATTTTGTGCTGTTGTTTATGACATATAACAGCTTAAAGATTACTTATAGCAATTGAAAACATTTGCTTTTCCATTTTGTTATTTCATCATGTGGTGCACCATATTAAGAACATTAATGTTGTCTACTATTTGGTAAATAATTAATACGGTTTTCTTAATTGTCCACTTTTTTTGGATTAAAATAGATAACTCTGGAATTTTCCAGTATTTAATATTCTCTAAATCTATTTTTGTAAAATATTTTTGGAATCGTGTTAAAATCACCCTATTAAGAATAAAATATTGTTTATAGATGCTTAAAATATTTTGGATTAACAGTTGTTATCTCATGTGTTAAACTTTATAAGCTATTGAGTTTTCTATCCACATAATACTGTTTAATAATCTACACTGAACTTACTCCTAGCTCTTAATTCTCGAGTGATTCGACAAAACTGTGAATTTTTGGAATGGTATTAACGTAGAAGAAAAAATAAATACATCAAAAATATAAGCTAAATGTGACAAAAACTTAAAATTTTATAGTGCATTATTATTAATGAATATTTAAAGATTTTCTGAAAATAGAACGTGAAGATAACATACATCCTAATTTCATTTTTTTTCATTTTTCTCTTTTCATTATGACATCTTATTTAGACTTTTTATCAAACATTTTTATTAAAATATAACACAATTATCATTCATTTAATAACTTATTATCTAGTATCGAATGTGTAGGCAACAATTTAGATTTTAAACAGCTGACAACATTGTATTTTTCACATAGATATGTAACTGCTTTCAGTGAAGTGAGTGTAATTTTTTTGGATAAAGATACAAGTTACTCACTTGTCCACAATGTCTTGTTCTACAGGACCTACAGCAAATAAAATCAATCTTAAATTTCTGACAATTAAAACCTTGTGTTTAGTATAATATATTCATCTTTGTATGACTCTTTGTTTTATATATAATATAAAAATAATTAAAATTAGAGGAGAATATAGAAAAATTAATGTTGAAAGAACAATACTGTCTTGGATTAGTAATGATTATAAGATAAATGACACTTATAGAAATGTTGATAATATCACTTATATAATGATAAGACCTATTTTGAGGTTTATTTGCTATTTCAAATGTCATGGAGAACCACTCATAGATTACACTTTGCTGAGAAATTGTCAGAAATAAGCAATCCATCACGGTTAACTTATTCTAATAATTATCACGTTAAGGAGCCTGTCTCTTTTAAATTTTACCTTGTTTGTAAAAAAATAGAATGTTACGCAAAGTTCCACACTTAAACCCAAAATAACAATCATAAAGTTATGTGGTTGCATTTTCTTCTTTAGTATATTCATTATTTATTGTCTCACAATGAACCAAGATATAGAACGCTTTCAAGCAAATACTAACTTCAGAGTAAAACCCAGGTAATTCTCCTTTCAAGTACGATTTTCATGATTTATGAAACTTCAAGATTTTATACCATAAAAGATTAATGGATGTCTTGTATGCTTCAAAGACCTCTCAACGAGAGAGAAAATAAGAATCACCTCACATCCTTCAAAGAAATCTGGTAATTTTTACTTGCCACAATATAGCTAACGTTTCGGTATGAAGTTTTTTAAACGCTACTTTTGTCTCTCGCTGACACTATCTACTCTATCTATACGTATATAATTTTAATTGACCTGGATTCATAGTTTAGCAGACGCTCTTCAAACACATATCTTAAGATGAAAATTAAACCGTCTCTTATGTATATGTGTATGTGATAGAGAGGGGGTATGTGGAATTTTGAAACATTCAGTCTTCCTTGTGTGTTCATTTACTATGAGTTGTAAGTGTTAACAATGGTATTGTAGTAACCTAAATGAGATATTTTATTTGTTTATTTTTGGGTTACCTTACTGAAACTTAAATCACTACAGAAGAAGATATCCTAAGTTATGATAAACAATCATAACTTAAGAGATTATAAACAAATACAACCAGCATCATAATTCGTGAAGAATATTCTTGCTTTGAAACGTTAGAACATAACTGAATACCTATATAGAAGTATTTCACTTTTTTCTATTGATGTTGAATTTCGCGGAAAAATGCTCGAGGGATACCGGCGCTAGTCACCCATCATTTTGAAGTGTTAGACTAAAGGGAATGCAGTTAAGTAGTCAACATCACCCACCCCTACCCATGAGCTACTCTTGTTGGGCGAAGTAGTGGGATTTTACCGTTACTCTTATAACGTACCCACAGCCTCAAAGTGCGAAGCGCTATTTGTTTTGGGGGGAAGGGGGTAACAGGGAGCAAACTACAGAACCTCAGATAGACAGTTTGGCATGCAAATCACTGGGCCGCGCTCTGCCTTATCTCAGATGGACGATTGAAATCTAATGGTAATGATTCCACATAAAACGATACCAGAACCAAGATACTAAACCTTTATTGCTTTAAACGTAGATCAATCAAAACCGAACCAGATATCCAGTGTTATTTTGTTCTTAAATAGTTCTATGGGATTTATAATAAATCAAATCATCATATGAGAGCTCTCTCTCGCTATATATATATATATATGTGTGTGTGTGTGTGTGTTTATATGTATGTACGTATATATATATATATACATATATATCAGTTTGTCATCCTTTCATTTTTATTATGACTAACTTTTGAGTATTTACTTATCAAACATAAACAATTTACGTATCGTCAATGTAAAAAATAAAATAACTGATAAATCAATCACTCCACTCTGTCATATGAGGAAGTAAAAGAGAATAGGTCTCAGAACTTATCCTCCAATTTATCTTCCAATTATCTTATATGAATTTTCTGCTGCTATTGTTCATAATGTTATAAAGATATTTCCAACTGTATCATTGGACTTATATTCCGATCAGTTAATGTTTATCCAAAGAACTGAAAGTAGAAAATTTAAACTAATATTAATATTGATTCCAACTGACTGAACGATATTTTTGGAAGTGATATACAACAAATAACGTACACCATTTTACTTTTTGTTAAAGAACAAATTGACTGAATAATATTTATACAACAAACAAGGTACACCATATTACTTTTTGTTAAAGAACAAATTGACTGAACGATATTTTTGGAGGTGATATACAACAAATAACGTACACCATTTTACTTTTTGTTAAAGAACAAATTGACTGAATAATATTTATACAACAAACAAGGTACACCATATTACTTTTTGTTAAAGAACAAATTGACTAAATGATATTTTTGGAAGTGATATACAACAAACAAGGTACATCATTTTACTATTTGTTATTGAACAAATTGACTGAATGATATTTTTAGAAGTGACATACAGCAAACAAGATACAACCTATTACTTTTTGTCAATGTACAAGTTGACTGAATGATATTTTTGGAAACGATATACAACAAACACAAACAAATACTTTTTGTTAATGAGCAAATTAAAATTTAACATTCGGATTTTCTTTGTCATTTACTCACTGGTTTAATGAAAAGTCTAATAAAAATATGCTGGATATTTCTTTAAATCTTACACAACTCATTTTAATAATCTGAGAAATATATATTTGCAGAACTATGTGCAATTCACGTTCAAAAAGTTGTTTTTGCGAGCTTGTACTGATATTTGAAACATAAACTATTAAATTGACCTTATAAAACGCTTTGAATTAGACACAAATTTTACAAACAATAAATGTATCTTATTTTTTTTTATGAAAAAAAGGGGAAAGTAATCATTCAGTATTTTATTTCTTTCAGACATTTCAGCCGAAATATATAATGATAAACTTAAAATATGAAAAAAAAAGTAGTTTATGTCACACATTTCGTTTCCTGCTCGCAAAACTTTTATTTATAATTATGTCACCACACATATGCGTGTGGTGTGTCTAGCTTTCTCGAACTTTCGAATTCTGCGTTGATGATTTTGGATTGATACCCGCCTGGTGGTTTCTAAGTTTTACTGCTTAGATAAAATACTTCTAAACAATTTGAAGTTTACTTCAAAATCTTTAGATCTGAATTCTATCAATTTATTACACTTTTAATTTAAAAAAAAGCAACGTTTACTAAAACGTTCTTAGCATCTCTTTTGTTTTTGCATTAAAAGTTTACTCAGAATTTAGCAATTATAAATCATTTTAATGAACAGAATAGGATAGTTGTGTTAATTCATACGTTTTACTTTTATTACTTTTAAAATACTTCTTAACTATTTCAATATTCTAATTTACTTAATTTGCAATATCCTATTCTTTAAACTGACAAAATACACATTAATAATTCGCGTTATATTTTTATCATAATTATCCAACACATGTGTTTAAAAAGAACTTACAAATTCCAACTTTACTGGTTTTTTATAACAAATAAAACATTCGTCTCACTGATATGCTTCTGACCTGGATTTTTCGTAGATTCTTCTGTGTCTTTATTTGTATTTTCTTGTCCGCAACTGGTTTAGTAGAACCCAAATAAGATGGTCTTATTGCGATAGTGAAAGAACTTTTAACCTTCGAAATTATTATTCTGAATAAAGTTTAAACCGATTATCATTAAAAAGGCTTACTCCTTTTGATGTAAGTATATTGTTCTTGCTTATTTTTCTCATTCCTTCCAAGTAACGGATCACGCCTTTCTTTCTTTGGTCCAACAAATTATATTTATTAACATCAAAGATCATGCAAAATTCAAATATGTAAGCCACGCCTAAATTTTCAACCCTTAAAAAATATGAGAAACAATATTACAAAAGTTATTTTCAAAACGTTTTATTTTGATGAAATCATTCAATCCTTTTTAAAGTAGAGATAAGTTTATTTGTTTGTTGTTGAGGACAAAGCTAACAATGAACTTTCTGTACACTGCCAACCGCGGTATTGAAACCCGATTTTTAGCATTATAAGTCCTCAGACATACCGTTGAGCAGCCGGGAGGCTAGAGCTAAGTAAATAAAAATTATTTCCAAAGTAATGTTGAAACTGCAAAGACATACATTATTTAATACCGTTTGATATTATTTTCACTAAACCTTTCCACCACATATTTTCTCAATATCAATAAATAGTCTTGAGTTTCTAGTTAAATGCAAGATGTTATTAGATTTAAAACGAACAAGTCATTGTAGACTTAGCTATCTGATTGATCATTTGATAGTTGATTTAAAACAATATGTGGTTCATAAAATGTTAAAACTTCGCTATCTACTGCAGAAGATAGAATTCGTATTTGCACATATATATGTATCTAAGAGTATGATTTTTTACTGTTTGGTATTTGGTAAAAGACATTAATTAGAATTGTATTTTAATAACAAATTTGGCAATTCAAAAATTAAGTTATAGGTTTTGCATTTTTTTCTGACTTACTCGAAGTGATAATGAATTATTTCAATGTATACCTCCCAGTAGCACAGCGGTATGTCTGCGGACTTACAACACTAGAAAACGGGTTTCGATACCCGTGGTGGGCAGAGCACAGATAGCCTATTGTGTAGATTTGTGCATAAATTCAAACAAACAAACAAATTTCGATGTACAGTTAAAAATGATTAAAATAAACATATTTTAATAATATTTTGGATAGTAAAGAGTTTGTGAGCAATTTTAAATCCTTGATAAACAAATTATTTGATGCATCTTTTAGTTCTTAAATTATAATTTTCAACTAAAATGTATTAATATTCTGCAGTTTTAAAATCAAGATGTTCGGAATTTAAATATAATTTTCTAACACAATAAACTGTTAAGCTATGATCTGATATTTTTCCAACATTACAAAATTCTAGTAATCAGGGTTTAAGTTTTGACTTTACTTTCAATGCACAGTAACTTGGACAATACTGGTAGTTAGTAGTGTAGATGTTGCTTATTTGAAGTATGTAAAAGTATGTAGGAAGAGAGGAAACTACTTTCCAGAACTCTTCTTGATATTTATGGACACAAACATACTGAAAAGTCGAAATTTTACTATACGGATGTTAAGTACGGTATATTAAAACGATTTTGGAAGCTCACTACGTCGTTATATTCCTTTTGGGCCATTGTACCTAACTTGATGAGTTGATACTTAATAACATGAACATCAGTTATTTCTTTCTTTTGTTCTACTACAGAGAAGATAACGAGGTTTTCTAAAGAGTGATACTTACCTTTCTCTTCTTCTTGTGCTCTAAGCCTCATTATGATGACAATAAAAACAGCCATAAGCACCAGAGCCCCAACTATTCCAATTAAAATACCCAGCACAGGACTGATGATTGGCCTTTCAATTTTTGCTAATCAAGGAATGTATCATGAGCTTAGAAAGTGTGAAAATTTTCAAATTCGAATTTGATTGTCAGAAAGTCTAATTATTTTTCATAAAGCTATGACGATCTTAAATTCTAAATAAATTTTAAACATAAAATCTATTGCTGCTATAAATATAAAACAGGTTCCGGAAGAAAGACTATTCCACTTGAGATGCTTGTATAACTGAAAGATTATTTAGTTAATCATTCTAGAACTCCACATGTTACGGTTTTATAATATATCTATGTATCAAATGATCTTCTCCGTTTTGAAATATTCTACAATAGTGCTTTAAAACACTTCAAAACCAATACTAGTAAGAGAACTATTTACCTGTACGTTTCTCCGGAGCTGGTAATGTCGTTGCAGTCAGAGCGACAGAATGACTTTTACCCTTTGAATTTGAAGCGTAAATTGCAAGAAGAAAGTTCGTTCCTGGAGGAAGATTATTGATAGTGAAAGTTGGAAAATCTTTTTCGGACATGTTGATCTGTAGTCTATCCAGTGGAGAGTTAAACACTTCTAAATGAAACATCTGTTTTAATCCCCCATTATAACCAGCTTCGCACTCTATTTCAATAACTGTTATCGTTCTGTTTGTAATCTCGCAATTCTTCACGGGATCTGGCCTTCCTGAAATAAACATTATTCTGTTTCATTCAAAAATCGTAGCGCTATTATTGTAGTGACTATAGAAAATAGTGTTTAATGCCGTACTGTTATAAAACATCAGTATGTTTAAGACATTTAAAATGTCTATAATCTGGCAATCAACCGAGAGTTCCAACGTACTCATGCGTAAAATTGGAAATAAAAACGACAATTGAGGAAAAATACATAATAGCGATTTCTTTTAATATTGGGATATATAGAAATACATCATGTAAGCTTCCTCAGCAAATGAGTAGATTAATATCTGGAAATATTTTCTTTCCTGATGTTTATTCTTTACAGATATATCTAAACTTTTTTATACTAAAATTACATGAATTAAGCTTATTAAACTTCAGAATTAATTACAGGTTTAGGTAAATTTACCTCAAAATATTAACAACAACAAAAAAAGAGTTTAAACAGGTTTTGCATGATAATCATCAATACGTATTAACATTTAAACTTGGCCCGGCATGGCCAGGTGGTTAGGGAACTTTACTCGCAATCTGTGGGTCGCGGGTTCGAATCCCCATTCCACCAAACATGCTCGCCCTTTCAGCCGTGGGGGCGTTATAATGTGACGATCAATCCCACTATTCGTTAGTAAAAGAGTAGCCCAAGAATTGGCGGTGGGTGGTGATGCCTTCCCTCTAGTCTTACACTGCTAAATTAGGGACGGCTAGCGCAGATAGCCCTAGTGTAGCTTTGCGCGAAATTCAAAACAAACAAACAAACATTTAAACTTAAGAAACTTCTTTTGTTTTTTGCATCACTAGTAATCATTCTTTCAGATTTTGTGAAAGAGAAGTAACTATATGTAAGTAAAATATCTCAGTTTTTTCCCTTAAAGCTTGTTAATTGAAAAATGCTTTGTGAAAGAAACATAACATCTGCTTTAATGAAGAAAGAAATAGTTATATAACATTTGCTTTCACATATCAAATATATACACTTTTTTGAGAGATTATCTTGACATTATCATGCATATATATATACATATAATCAGATTCTAACATATACTTGTAGCTAAAAACTGAAAAATCTCGCGGAAAGCCACCATTTCAACTATAAAGATGCTCCTTCCCCACTCACTTCGTGGCTTACAACGCT